CGGCGGCGGCTGAGGCCCTGAGACGTGACAGGTTTAGGGCTTTAGGGCTTTAGGGCCTTGGGCTTTAGGGCTTTAGGGTTTTGGTGTTTAGGGGTTTAAGGCTTTAGGGGTTTAGGGGTTTTGGGGTTTTGGGGTTCGGGGCAAAGAGCTCTCAGGCAAGTTGTGTGCTACTCTTGTGACTTTACAGTACTTCGGCTTGGAGGGCTCCTGAAGCATCGAAACTCAGACCTATCCCGCGAGTAGGTTTCAGAGCAAGGAGGCCAAAGAGTCTTACACGAAGTTTGGCATTGGCTTGGGTTGGGTTAAGCAGGCTCACGTCTCTGACTGCTCTGACTTACGATCGTTACGGGTGGTACCTGAACCGCCTTGCAAGCCGGAGCTCTTGATGTCCTGAGCCTTTGCTCTCCGTCAGGACAAGGACGGATTGAAGCCTTTCGGCCGCCAAGAGCCCAAGATGTGCGTCACCGTGAAGGCTCGCGCCATCGAGCGGAATAGGACTTCGTCCGGTTGGGGGGCTTAGGGGCTTAGGGTTTAGGGTTTAGAGGGCCTTTGCCTGGAGAGCTTGGGTTCCGGTTTTGCGACACAGAGAGAAAAATGGTTTGTTTGTCGAGTTCGGAACCGCTGGAGGTCACCATTCCCGCCCTCACCGTCCACGACAAGAGCATGCGAATCATTGAAGCCAAGGTCAACACGACTTTGGAGGCATGGCTGTTCCGGTCCGTTCGACTTCGGTCAAAGTCCGAGTTACACGTTTTCCAAGCTACTGAAGATTGGTAGCCTCAGATTCCGGGAGGTTTCCACCTGCAGTAATAAAGTAAGTCTATTTCCTCAAGGCTTCCATCTCCAAGCGTGACGATGATGACATTGAACATGATGCGAAGGAAGATTATCACTGTAGTCACCGCCGTATGACCACGAGGAGCATGATGAACTCTGGCAAACGCTTCGCCATCATCACCAATGCACTTCTCCCCCTCCTCCTCATCATCATCATCATCATCAGCATCGCTGTCGCCATCACCATCACTGCTTTCAATATCAATATCATTGCACAGTCACATCATGAACATTTCCTTTAGTCTGTTTGTGCTCGTGGTCGGCGTCGTCATCGTCATGTTGAGCCGGCATTGCCCAGCAATGGCGGCCGAAGCATCACCAGCGACGAGTCGCCAGCACCGTCGGTTACACCAGCACCACTCGCAGCAGCAGCATCGTGTTCATGATCTTCTTCTCCAGCTTGCTCGGATTGTTAGCACCTCTACATCGGAGAAGTCCAAAGCCACCATAGTTCCCAAAATCCCAGCGTTGCCAGGTCCTGGCCAATGCGACCCAGAAGGCCCCTCGCGCCCGTCAGCAAAACTCGGGGGAAAACTTGGGGGATTCTTGGGAGCCTTCTTGCCAGGACAAGATACCCACCCGGGAATGTGTGCGCGACGTGTAGAAGACTTTTTGGTACAAGCCGGCTTATGGCTCTGTGCTTTCTTCCCTTCTGTTGCTTTCCGTTACCAGTCTGGGGATTGCTCTTAGTACTCTTCGATTGCGGAGGCCGATGCCAACGCGACGGCAACGGCCAAGACGGTGCGCAAAGCTGTTGTGGAGGCGCCGGCTGAATCCATCGAGATTTTGGTTTCGAAGCAGCAGAACCAAGAACCTGCGAAGTTTCTCATCCTCGGGTTCAATCTGCATCCTGCTGTGTGCATGGTTTGGCCATTGTTTGTTGTTCTCCCGCCCCAATACTGTACGGTAAAGTACTTCAGATCGAAGCCCCGAGCCCACAAGCCACGCAAGAAGCTGCAAGCCCCTGGAAGGGCTCCATAAGTTCCGTCAAACACGAAGCAACAGTGCAAATCCTAAAGTCCCGGCGCTGAGCCACGACAAAGATGGCCTAACCCAAACGTGCCGTTTCAATAAAGCTTCTCGGGGAAGTCTTCTCGAATCTGTGGAAATGCTGCGGATCCTTCAGCCTTGAACTACACAGGAGAACGTCAAAAGACCGGAACCAGAACCTTAGCTCCTCTGGAGCTTGCGGGAGTGGTTGTTCGCAGACTGAAACTGAAAAGGAACCACCACAACTGCTCTTCATGAAGCCTTCAAGGAACCCTCAGAAGGCCCTTCTTCAACCCTAAACCCTGAACTTCCCTAAACCCTAAACCCTAAGCCCTTGGAAGAA